GATGTGTTTACATGATGTGTTACATGATGTGTTACATGATGTGTTTACTGATGTGTTTACATGATGTGTTTACTGATGTGTTTACATGATGTGTTTACATGATGTGTTTACATGATGTGTTACATAATGTGTTTACTGATGTGTTTACATGTGTTTACATGATGTGTTACATGATGTGTTTACATGATGTGTTACATGATGTGTTTACATGATGTGTTACATGATGTGTTACATGATGTGTTTACATGATGTGTTACATGATGTGTTTACATGATGTGTTTACATGATGTGTTTACATGATGTGTTTACATGATGTGTTTACATGATGTGTTTACATGATGTGTTTACATGATGTGTTTACATGATGTGTTTACATGTGTTTACATGATGTGTTTACATGATGTGTTTACATGTGTTACATGATGTGTTACATGATGTGTTTACATGATGTGTTTACATGATGTGTTACATGATGTGTTACATGATGTGTTACATGATGTGTTTACATGATGTGTTACATGATGTGTTACATGATGTGTTACATGATGTGTTTACATGATGTGTTTACATGATGTGTTACATGATGTGTTACATGATGTGTTTACATGTGTTACATGATGTGTTTACATGATGTTTTTACATGATGTGTTACATGATGTGTTACATGATGTGTTACATGATGTGTTTACATGATGTGTTTACATGATGTGTTACATGATGTGTTTACATGATGTGTTTACATGATGTGTTTACATGATGTGTTACATGATGTGTTTACATGATGTGTTTACATGATGTGTTACATGATGTGTTTACATGTGTTTACATGATGTGTTACATGATGTGTTACATGATGTGTTACATGATGTGTTTACATGATGTGTTACATGATGTGTTTACTGATGTGTTTACATGATGTGTTACATGATGTGTTTACATGATGTGTTACATGTGTGTTACTGATGTGTTTACATGGTGTGTTCATGATGTGTTTACATGATGTGTTACATGATGTGTTTCATGATGTGTTTACATGATGTGTTTACATGATGTGTTACATGATGTGTTTACATGATGTGTTTACATGATGTGTTACATGATGTGTTTACATGTGTTTACATGACGTGTTTACATTATGTGTTTACTGATGTGTTTACATGATGTGTTACTGATGTGTTTACATGATGTGTTTACATGATGTGTTTACATGATGTTTACATGATGTGTTTACTGATGTGTTTACATGATGTGTTTACATGATGTGTTACATGATGTGTTACATGATGTGTTTACATGATGTGTTACATGATGTGTTTACATGATGTGTTTACATGATGTGTTTACATGATGTGTTACATGATGTGTTTACATGATGTGTTACATGATGTGTTTACATGATGTGTTTACTTGATGTGTTTACATGATGTGTTTACATGATGTGTTTACATGATGTGTTACATGATGTGTTACATGATGTGTTTACATGATGTGTTACATGATGTGTTTACATGATGTGTTTACATGTGTTTACATGATGTGTTACATGTGTTTACATGATGTGTTACATGATGTGTTACATGATGTGTTACATGATGTGTTTACATGATGTGTTACATGATGTGTTTACATGATGTGTTTACATGGTGTGTTACATGTGTTTACATGATGTGTTTACATGATGTGTTACATGATGTGTTACATGATGTGTTACATGATGTGTTACATGATGTGTTTACATGATGTGTTACATGATGTGTTTACATGATGTGTTTACATGATGTGTTTACATGATGTGTTTACATGATGTGTTTACTGATGTGTTACATGATGTGTTTACATGATGTGTTTACATGATGTGTTACATGATGTGTTACATGATGTGTTACATGATGTGTTTACATGATGTCTTACATGATGTCTTACATGATGTGTTACATGATGTGTTACATGATGGGTTACATGATGTGTTTACTGATGTGTTTACATGATGTGTTACATGATGTGTTTACATGATGTGTTACATGATGTGTTTACATGATGTGTTTACATGATGTCTTACATGATGTGTTACATGTGTTTACTGATGTGTTTACATGATGTGTTTACATGATGTGTTTACATGATGTGTTACATGATGTGTTTACATGATGTGTTTACTGATGTGTTACATGATGTGTTTACATGATGTGTTTACATGATGTGTTTACATGATGTGTTACTTGATGTGTTTACATGATGTGTTTACATGATGTGTTTACATGATGTGTTTACATGATGTGTTACATGATGTGTTTACATGATGTGTTTACATGATGTGTTACATGATGTGTTTACATGATGTTTTTACATGATGTGTTACATGATGTGTTACATGATGTGTTACATGATGTGTTACATGATGTGTTTACATGATGTGTTACATGATGTGTTACATGATGTGTTTACATGATGTGTTTACTGATGTGTTACATGATGTGTTTACATGATGTGTTTACATGAT